TTTCATCTGGACCCCAGCGTACGGCTCGCCAATGCTCCCAACCAAGTCCTCATTGATGATCTGCCACACGCATTCGATGTCGGACCGGGAGCGGCTTCTTTTGTCAAGTCTGTTTCTAATGTTTGGGGCAGGGATGTTGCCCTTGACTGGAAGACTCTGGGTGAAAGATACGGTCGTCAAAGAGGTGTCCTTGATGCGATTCTTCGAAGTGCTGGACCTTTTGAAGTCGTCTACGATTCCGATGAAACTTTGTCCATCGCAGTACAGACTAGCCGAAACTTCTTGCAGTATTTCGGCGGTGACACAAACATTGTTGCTTCCTCCAGGTATGAGCAAGCATTGGACAAGGAAGCAAATGTTATCACAATCTGGCTTGGAACTTTTGTGCCCGATTCTCCCCTCCCAGGATTCCCAATTCGGCTTGTCAATGAACAAATTCTCTTTACTGCAGCAGATTCCAGACTGATCTCATTGAATTTGGAAAGCGGTATGGGCGGGGTCTGGCTTCGACCTCTTCCAGGAGAGCGGTTGGAGCTTGTTGTATGGGGAGTTGACGAGGTTGGTTTGCGACAAGCGGCGAGGCTGGTACCCACGATCGCTGGAGCTGGTCAGCCTGACTTTGTGATTCTGGGTAATGAGGCAAGATGGAAGGGTCACGGTGGTGCCATCGCAATGGGCTTCTTGGATCGCAATTGGAAGATATCCTCTGCTTCATACCTGCCTTGAAGATATCCCCGTGGGCAGAACCGTATGCTGGTGTGAATTGGGGGAATGGCTGGGAATGAGGAATGTTGGCGGTTGGGCGGTTAGCTGGAGGATGAGGAAGTTCTGAGAGCTTTCTGTAAGTGATTTTAGTCGTTGGTGTGTCAGTGCGTGCAGCGGAGTGTGAAATGGAAAGAGCGCGCCTGCAGCCACTGTGGTTACTTCACTGATGCTCAACTTCCTGTCCTGCCTGCCACTGCCACCAACGCTTCCTTGACTTTCTGCTCACATCCTCCCTTTTCATCTTGCACTTCCTTTTCTTTCTCCCCTCTGCACCCTCAACTTCTACGGCATTTTGCAAGTCTTCCCCATTTTGCAGGCAATTTCTTGTCACTGTCACCGCTCTGACGGTGTGCTTCTCTCCCTGGCTTCCCTTGATCTATTACCTGGATATCTCTGCATGTTGTAACGACCTCAGTCGATCGAGGCTTCTTGGTTTTGGGACTTCAACAACCTCATGGCCACGCTCGTCTCCGCGGGATCTCCCACTGGAAAGATGAGTCGCAAGTCAACACCAACTATCAAGGTCAGAGAGGAAAGTGATGATGGCTCTGCTGCGGTGGTAAACTCCCTCACGGTGCGTTCGTTCGTTTCTAATTTCACTTTGTTACTAACACGCGTCCACAGACAGCGACCATTTCCCACTCCGCAACCTCTACCCGTCCTTGCTACACCATCTTGCACACTGACAAGCTGGGCAACATCCAGCCTCTTAAACAGAAGGACAAGGTATGTTAACTCGTTGGCCTCTGCACGTTTCCTTATCTTCAGGGGTTTGCTGAATCTTTCTTGGACAGGCTACTGCCAAGCCTTCCGAGGCTAGTGCGACAGGAGGAGGTGGCATGGAGGACATTCTTTCTCGCCTGAAGCTCAATGACTCTCGTAAACCTGCTCCTGCTCCTTCTAGCGAGGTCAAGTCACGCAAGCCTGATGATTTTGGAAACCTGGACAAACTTCTGAACAATCTGCAAGATTCAAGCAAGGCCCTGAAGAAGCAAGAGCAGGAACTCAGAAACGAAATGCATCCCGAGAATCACAAGGCCAACACCTCGACCAATGACAGCCACGATGCTGGGAAGCCGGCTCACCATGCTGCAGCTGCCAATAAGGTCGATGTGACTGAAATGATGCGTGTCAAGCAAGAGCTTGAGGCTGCCAGATCCGTCATTTCACGCCAGGAACAAGAGCTTGCGGAGACTCGCACACTCAAACAAACCATCGACCAGGCCATGGGTCCCCCATCCGAAGCCGACTTTGGTGCGTCCAATGACATCTCCGAGCAGACCATTGGTCATTTGCAGAGTGCTTTCAATGCGTCTGCCCGTCCATTCACATCACAAACCGATGCTTGGGCCGGCCCGGACGAACACCGCACTGACTTCGCCCGCGGCAGGGGCATCTGGAACAATCCTTCAACATCTATGACGAATCTTTTGGCTACCAATCCTACCGCCCCAGCATACAACCACCCTCGTGATGTACGTCTTTCTGGTCAGGCTTACAATGGAGTCTATGGCGCCCCCTTCTCTCCAGCCGAAACCAATTTCCAGCCTCGAAACTTCTCAGGAACCGGTGCTCCCCTTGGCTATGACATGAGGCCCAACAATGACCTAATGCCATTGAACCCTACCCTGGGTATGAGACGCAATGGTGGACAATTAAGAATCAATCCAGGCCTCACCGATCCAATGTCACAACTTGGTAGCTTTCCGCCTACTGCAACCACGTTGACACCACCACCAATCAGTCCTGTCGGTTTCCCAGGCCAATACAATTATCAACGAGGGATCACAACCCCAATCACTCCGGCAACCGACTTCAATACTGCTGGTGTGCAAGGCGCTGGCAACCCATGGCCGCTCTCTGCTGGTGGCGTGAATGGTCAAACCTATGTCACTCCACTTGAGCCGATGAACTATCGCCGTCTCCTCGACAAGTCCGTGTCCTGTGACTGGAAGTACATCGTTGACAAGATTGTCTGCAACAACGACCAGCAAGCCAGCATCTTCCTCCAGCAGAAGCTCAAGGTCGGTACGGCTGAACAAAAATTTGAGATTGTTGAGGCCATTGTCAATCAAGCTTATCCACTCATGATCAATCGCTTTGGCAACTTCCTTGTCCAGCGATGTTTTGAGCACGGAACCCCGGATCAAGTTGTTGCCATTGCCAATGCCATTCACGGCAACGTCCTATCCTTAAGCATGGATCCATTCGGCTGCCACGTCATTCAGAAGGCCTTTGATTCTGTTCCAGAGGACCATAAGGCTGACATGGTTCGAGAATTGCTTCGCCGCATTCCGGATACGGTTATTCACCGATATGCTTGCCATGTCTGGCAAAAGTTGTTTGAGCTCAGATGGAGTGGGGAGCCACCACAGATCATGCTGGAGGTCAACAAGGCTCTTCGCGGCATGTGGCATGAAGTTGCGTTGGGCGAAACGGGAAGCTTGGTCGTTCAGAACATCTTTGAGAATTGCATTGAGGAAGAGAAGAGACCTGCTATTGAAGAAGTGATTGCCAACATCGACCTCATTGCCCACGGTCAGTTCGGTAACTGGTGCATTCAGCACTTGTGTGAGCATGGCTCCCCGCCAGACAAGCGCCGGGTGATTGACCACATCCTCGCCAACTCCTACAGCTACAGCATTGATCAATTCGCATCTAAAGTTGTTGAAAAATGTCTCAAGATTGGAGGACCGGAATTCTTGGACCGCTATCTCGGAGTCATTACCACTGCTCACCCGGATCGTCCCCGCATCCCTCTCATCGACATTGCTGGCGACCAATATGGAAACTATCTGATTCAGTGGATCTTGATGAACACTCACCATCATCAGCGAGAGCAGGTGGCCATCCATATTCGAAAGCACATGGTCTCCTTACGTGGGTCCAAGTTTGGATCTCGTGTTGCCATGCTTTGCTGCAACCCGAACTCGGTCACTCGCCCTGGCCCAGGAGCAGTCGTCAACCCTTTCGGTGCTCCTGGTCAGCCACGCAACCAATGGCCTCGCTTTCGCTAAGTCAAGATCTCGACACGTCTCCATGGACAGAGGTCTGGTCTCACGCTTCGTCATCTCATCTACTTACGTGTCATCTCCTTGAAGATGAGGGTATTCTACAAGTTTGTCAGTACAGCAAGGGGCACCTACCCTGAAACTTGGAATACCGACCAACACTGCCATGACCGATGGGGAGAGGATACTACTCGAGCCTTTCAAGTCAGTCTCTTATCTTGGCTCGCACTTCTTGGCTGTTCATTTCCATCGAACTCTTATCGGACAAGAATATTCAATTGTATGTGTTTTTCCATATCGACAAGGAAAGTTTCATATCTGCCAATGATACGAACAACCCAACCGGCATCGGTCGTGTGGATGTTTGCTTTGGGAATGATAACTTGTTGGCGGCAATATTTCAGAGCTAGCAGCATTATCGGCGTCAATGTTCATCAGTCATGGCGGATGACTGTGTATCATATCATGTCTTTGACAATCGTCCTTGCCCGCCAGAAGAATTGAAGGGGAAAATTGACCAAGCATGTATTTACCACTGGCATGATGAAACATCGAGAATGATGAAGACAATGTAGCAAATAGTGAACATCATAGCTGAAGAAGCGAGCCAAACATCGTTCCTGTTCTTATTTTCCAGCAGGACCTACCCATCGGCTTTAGAGGCGCGCGTTCGGATACTAAAATCATAAGTGACATTCAGACCTCGTCCTGTCAGCTTGATCGCATGACTCCACTATGCAGTGCAGAGAAACCGGGCGTCACCAATGTGGTGCATATCACGATGCAAAGAGTCCCAATCAAATCAACCTACGTTTCCACAACCCCATATGCTTCGCTTAACTCGACGGTACGTCCTAACTCGAGCCCAAAAATGCAGCAGGTGTAGGTCGTTCGGCCGCGCAAGTCTTCTTTGCTCATGGACGGCGAGAAATGCATTGCGGGTTTCCACGCCCATCATCTAGCATATTTGATACCCGTCATTCAATAAGCATGGGGCAATCCTGATTCCATCTCATCTCTCTGGCTGCGGAAACACTAGCATTGCTCCGGCGAGACAATCAGTCTCATTGGGCATGAGGGCCATAGACCCTATATCATGGGCATCTGCACCTCTGACCACAAGGCGAGGCAGGACTGTGCAAAGCCATTGATCGCGTGGTCGCATCTTTGTACTTTAGTGATAGAGCGAGTGCCTGTCTCGCTTTCTTTTCCCTGTGTCACGGTTCAATCCCTTTTGAGCAGTCCGCTGTCTGGAATGGCGTTGGGTTGAAGAATCTTTACCAAACCTTCGCCAGCAGGTCTGTGTCCGTTGATGTCGATTCCTTCGGGTTCAGGTCTAGCTTCATCGCTCTGCCCACTCCTGTTCGTGGCTTGCGCGTCACCAGCCTCCAGAGGCGTCACTTCTTTCACTTCCGGTTGTTGCTTTTCCGATGGCGTCGCGTCGACATCTTTCTCCCAGGGCTTTTTTCTTCTTGGCGTCTTGTCGATTTTACTCGATCCCGGCTCAAGCACAGTGGGCGGGATCTCTTCTATCCCTGGGACGGGGAGATTTCGTGTTATTAGGTCCACAATAGCGGCAAAGGAGGTGGGGTAGGGTGGGTCTTGAGATGGTCCCGAAGGAGCTGCGGCGGTAGTTGTGGAGGGGGAGGTGAAAGCGGCTGTCTGGACGGAGATTTGCGGCGGTGAAGACAGTGCTCCTGCTGCTGCTGATGATGCGGGCGGTGCTGACGCTGAAGCTTCAGGCTGAGAAGGAGGAAGGAATATTTGCAGGTGTGGATGTGGATGTGGTTGTGATTGAAGCCATGCCGAATATGCGCGGGGAGATACGGGCGGCGTGACATTGAATCTTCTTGAGAAATAGAAGCACTGTGCCTGGAGAACCAGATCTGATTTCTCGCGCAATTCCTCTGAGGTCGCAGGCGTGTCTCGATGGCCGAGGATAGCGGCGAGGCCAGCTTGATATTCTTGATCGGTGGAGAAAGGATAGCGGGACAGGTGAGTATAGATGGCCTCTAGATCTGGCTGAGGGGGAGAACTGGCCTGTTGGTAGGCATCCTGGTTGGCCATTGCCTGGAGTATGGTAGAGGAAGCGGTTCGCTGGACCACGAGGATGTGTGAACAGGAGCAGTGGTGGCAGTGTTGAAATTGTTTCGGTTGTTAGAGGTGGTGCGGTTGAACCTCGGCATTGACGCAGCCAAAAGATACAGAAGGTATCTGCGGTGTCCAGTGGGGAGGTCCTCGATCTCAAGCGGGATAGGATATGAAGCATAGGAGAGGACATTTGGCTGTTAGCTTGCACGGAGGCTGCCGGGGCGATTCTGTGCGGCCGACTTCGTATGATTGCCCTAAACTGGCCCAAAGGCGCTTTGCGGGCTGATAGCCTCGTGCAGCCTCGTGCAACCTTGCAGCAGCCAATCAGAGTCATTTACGAATCCCAAGTCTGAGCTTTTGTGCGCGCTTGTGTCGCGCTCACCTCGCGCTTCCTTCAACCTCAAACATATCTCAGTAGTTCACAACCGATCTTCTTGGTCCTTCTTTTCACTCCAATCTCAACTTGTTAACCCCACCTCAAGTCTTCGGCGCGGTCAATGTGTCATTGAACAACCTTTAGCCATGGCGGAGAATTTGCGGACACCGGCCTCTCTGGGGGCTGGGCTTTTTCCAAGCCATGCCGCGATGTCCAGCAGCGACTCCGAAATCGAGTCAGATATTGAACCCGATCCCAATGATAATAAGCGCATACTACGCTATCTCAACAAACACGACAAAGAATTCAAAGACAAGCTCTATGTCTTTACTATGATGGCGAAGAGTCTGGCCAAGGATCATGCAAGATCTATCCGGCGCTTGAGAAAAGCGTGCATGGAGTCCGCTGCCGGCAGTCAGACTTACAGTCAAGCCCCACTACCTCCAAAAGCTCTGAAACCGACGGTCGAAGAACCTGTCAGGGTTGCTGCGCATGAAGGAGAGGAAGCCACGGAGTCCCCCGTCGTAAATGAAACATCCGAGCAGCTCGCGATTACTACAAACCTCCAGGACATGGCGCATGCCGCGCCCGCAGTTCCCTCCCAGACGACATTACAGCATAGCACCAGCGACCTTCCGCCCAGTAGCAACCTCGGCCAAATCGACGATCCTTCTCGCTTAGAAGGTCCAAATATGACAGAGCATCGGAAATTTGATCTTGATGACATTGACGACGACAATGCTTCATCTTATTCCACCGATGAAGGTGATTTCGACAAGGATATTATCCATGAGGAGTCGCCCACCCGGGATGAGACTAGTCGGGCCAGCGTTGCGGACAGGCGGCCAGCCGTCGCCCAACAACAAGCTGAAACACAACATCAACATGAATCCGGACTTGATGACGTCGACGACGACAATGCTTCATCTTATTCCACCGATGAAGGTGATTTTGCCAAGGACATTACACATGAGGAGTCGCCCACCCGGGACGAGACCAGTCGAACTAGCGTTGCGGAACCACGGCTAGCGGTCACCCCACAACAAGCTGAAGCACAAACTCGGCAAGAACCCGTGGCTCAACGGAGAAAGAGCTCCCAATTGCTTAACGAGGTATCGCGTCGATGGAAGGAAGAGGAGGAAGACTTCATGATTGAGATCATCCATGATTTGATGCAGAGAGAAGACCCGGGACTAACTAAATCTAACATGTGGCAACGTGCGTCCGAGATTCTCAAAACCCGCGGCTACGATCGCACCGGCCCACAAATGATGGCGAAATGGTCTTTCGGGACTCGTTACAAGTGTGAAGCTCGTGGCTTGGACTGGGCATCTACCGTCATGGCCAAACTCCCACACATGGCGCGTAAGCGAAACGCATCATCAGGCAATGCTCGAGAAGGAGAGTTGCACTCGACGCCAGATGGACAGTCAACCGCTAAAAGGACCAGAATTCGGTCTCGGAAAGTTGTCAACTCTCAAACGCCAACCTCCAATGGACCGTCGTCCTTAGACAACAGTCACCTCTACGGGTCCCAACCAAGGCCGAACGGCAAGACCAAGACGCAGAAGCCGAAGAGACAATCTCGAAGTGGTACGGCCCTTCAATCAGTACTTCCTCATCAAGAAGGGTTTAATACCAAGGTCGATTCAACACCTACAACATCGGGAAACCATTTGCGCCTTCGGGCTATTTGGGCTCGTACCTCGAGCGGCATGGTGCAAGTGGATTGGTCTCAAGATTCGAAGTACTTTGTGGCTGCTAGCAGCTCGGTAATGGACCCCTTGACAAATTTGAGGGATAACCGACCCATGAATCTAGTTCATGGTTCACTGCCTTCCAAGACCATCCGAGAACTTCCCGAACATCGCGTGGCGGGCAATGTCCACGCCGGGGAACCAAAATATGTGTATCAGACTGTCAGTGCGGTTCGATTCGCCCCAACCGGCCACATGATTTACAGCGCTGGGTTTGACAACAAGGTCCGAGTCTGGGACGCTGAGAATGAGGCTTCCATCCAAGTCAGGACAGAAATACAATATTCGCAAAAAGTAGAAGTTATGGATGTGGCTAGGGAGCAGAGCTCATTATTCGCCACTGGCACAGCAAATGGGATCAGATCTATCCGAGTCTTTTTGGCCGAGTCGGACCTGGACGGTCGCCCTCTAGAAATCAGACCCCTCCGGGAAACAGGAAGGAAATCGTTCCCATTTTCTCCCACATGTCTTAGGTTCGGACACCTGCAAAGCCGCGATTGGTTAATTGCGGGCTTCGGTACTGATAGTAATGATCCAAGGTTTGGTGCAGGCTGTACGACAGTGTGGAAATTTCACCAGGCCTCCTGTGAAGAGGTGTTTTTCCACACGGGAGACAGGTTTGTGTTTGATTGTGCTTGGTCCTCGTCTGGCGAACATTTCGTCATCGCAAGCGCAAGCGACCCGTTGTCAAGGGCAAATACAGCAGAGCATTCAGTGGTCCAGCTGTACTCCTCCAACCAGCCAGATTCAATAGCGAGATATGGTTGTCGCGCAAAGGATATCAACGACGTAACGATCAACTACGGTCTAGTCACAGCCTCGTGCACCGATGGATCGACGTATGTTTGGGACCAACGTCAGCCTCAAAAGCCATTACATCGGCTGGCTCACGGTCGGCCCTCCCTTTGGCTCGCTCGCGGAGCAGATCGTGAGATTGAGGACGTGGGAGTCAGATACATCGAGTGGAGCCATATTCCCGGACGACTGTATACTGGGTCAAGTGACGGCATCCTCAAATATTGGGACACCCGCCGTTCACCTGCCGATGTCCTCGTCGAGGATCTTGCAGATACTGGCTGTGAAATAATGTGTGGGCGGCTCTCACCGGATCATTCATCCTTGTTGCTCGGCGACGAGGAAGGATGTCTGCATCTGCTCAGCACGTCGAATGGTCCAATTCCCGAGCAATGGTTTCAGTTCCAAGTGCGTGAGCGGTGAGACAAGGATAAATTGGCATTCCCCCTAAGGAAGGACGAGGCACAAGCAAGAGGAGATCGGCGGGAAACGAAGGCTGACAGGTGTGCAAGACTGTGGTGGCTGAAGACAGAAACGGCGGCGTTGGGTTGTCTTACTGATAAGAACAGAATTTTGCAAGCTGCTCAATGGGAGAAAATGTATGGTATGTTGATGGCTTGAAACTAGTCTGGATGGCTTATGGGTATTGCTGCGTTCTCTAAGCTTGATATCGGGATGGAATAGACTGCTTTTTGAGATGAGGCTGAAGGGTGCAAGAGGCGTACCATACAGGGAATACCCTATGGTGGCATTGGTATGAGTGGTATAGTTCTCCTGAGCGATGGCGCGGATTGAGGCTCTTCGATGGTCCCAACAGGAATTGTAATTTTATTAGACCCTGCATGGGTTTCGCTACGACATTGAAAGTTCCATCTTGCAGTGGCATCTGGGCAAGACGAGTCCTTCTCTCTGCAACAAATACGTCACCCCACGAATAGCAGACAGAATCCTAGAGGAATCGAAAACGAACTGGCGCCTGACGACAGTGTGGACGAATCGCGGAGCTCAAGTACTTCAGGGGAAAAGAAATCTAGGTCACAATATCACCCCGTCTGGATAGGACGCCTGATGGGATATGTAGAACGCATGCCCCAAGACGAAAGGAAGCAAGCTGGGTGGGATCCTTGATCCCCGGAACCGGCATGATCTGGGTCCGGCCGATGATGGTGGGTGGTAGCCTGATTAGCAGGAATACAGGTGGACAACTTACTGGAGGAAATAGAGGAACGAACCGCATGCTGTTACATCTTACATATGACATATGTACTGGGGTATGGCATACTACGGCATATGGCATATGTCACTACTTTGGATGGAGGACAAGGAGCTTTAGCCTATTTATTTACTGTACTTGAAGGTGTTTTGGAGAGAGACTAACCACGGCTAACCAACCAACTCGGCCTTCGACTGCCCCTGGACTACATACAGCCGCATCCTTTATCGTATATGTACTTGCGGACGCACACGACTCAACAACTTCAGTACGCGCCACTCGCGCCCCGCACAAAAACATCAACAAAGCAAAAACGAAAGAATGACCTCCAGGCCCTTGTTCACCTCGGGGCGAATGTGTCTGAGCATCGTCGCCCTCGCCACCAGCGTCGGGTGCTACATGGCGGACTGGAACGAGACGCACGTCAAGAACCCGCGGTGGCCGCCGCACGCGCGCTTCCACAACGGACAGACCATGTCTATGGGCCTGTGTCTGGGCGTGCTCACGGCCTATTTCGCCTGGAGGCCTGTTCTGGACCGCTACAACGCGGATGATGGGCGAACTGCTACTAAGAGTGGCAGTGGGGGCACGAGGATAGCAGAGACAGCACGGAGCGGGAGAGGCAAGGGTCATATAGGAGGTATAGGTGAGAAGGAGAGCGTCACGATTTCCGCAGTGCTGGGGACTCTGTACTGGATCACCGGCCTCAGTGGGATCCTGTATCCCGGCACGAAATGGGTCGATCCCGAGTTTGGCGAAGGGGCACCGCAGGTGCCGCTTTTCGTGGGCCTAGCTGTCCTCGCTTGGTGCGGCTGGGGGTTGGAAATGAGGCGGCTAGGCCAAGTCTAAACTGGCGTAGATTAAGTGATGGAGGAGTGTATGTGGAGTGAAGAGGAGAGAGGAGGTAAGAGAGACAAAGTCGTGGAGAGACGGCGCTGTGAAAAAGCGGGGGGAAACAAACACATGGACATGGATGATGTATGGAGAGGGCATCGATCTGAGCTGGATGAGGGAACCCCCCAAACGTAGGAGAAAGCAAGAGACGCCGGAGGGGAGCTGAAAGAGTGAGGATTACCACATTTGTCATATTGAAGTCAATGAAGAAACGGGACAAGGGTGGTTGAAAGGCCGCAAGTCGTTTAATGATCGATTTTCAGGGAAAAATCTATATGTGGCACCCCTTGGTGGACGGCGCTCGTGGATATTATGTCGATATCTGTGATGAAATGATAGGGGGTTTGCGTTAACCAAGATGTGAGCGGCAGAAGGGCAATCATTGTAAGGACTGAATGGGATCATCTCCTCTCATCCCAAGGGACAGGAAAAGAGAAGACTGGGGCTGGCTTGATGCAAAAAGATCGGACTCACCATTGTTGATATATTCTTTGACGTTGGCCTCGGTCAAACCACCACTGCTCTCCAGGAGCACATCTGCCCGGCCTCTGGTCCTCCATCTCTCTTTCAGATTGCGCGCGGCTATCTTCAAGCCTTCGCCGTCAAAGTTGTCCAACATGACCACGTCCGCACCCGCTTCGATGGCTTCGTCTGCCTCTGCCTCGCTCTGCACCTCGACTTCGATCTTCAGCGCGAAGCCTCCTACCGCACGGGCCGCCTTGACCGCGTTGGTGATGGATCCTTTTGACCAGATGTGATTGTCCTTGAGCATGATCATGCTTGACAGGTCGTGACGGTGGCCGTCGATGCCGCCGACCAACATGCCGTACTTCTCCACCAGCCGAAATCCCGGTGTGGTTTTCCGCGTGCCAGCTAAGATGCCCGTGTAGCCCGCGCTGCGGACCAGTTGCAGCATTTTTTGCGACCGGGTCGCCACGCCGCTGCATCGTGCCAATGTGTTCAGCGCGACTCTTTCTCCCAGGAGAAGTTTCCTGGTAGGTCCCTTGACAGTGGCGACCTTGATCTTTCCGCCGGCCAGTTTGGGGTCGAGATATGTTCCCTCATCGTAATGCCATTCCACGGCACAGTCGAGTTGTCGAAATACCTCGTCGAAAAAGGGTACGCCGGCGAGTACGCCGGCGGACTTACACAGTAGTTGCGCGCTACGTGGTTCGGATCCCACGACGAAGCCGCCGTAGTCGAACGAGGGCGCATCTTCGGCCAGCCAGGTGGTTACTTGGGCGGTGAAGTGGGAGGGCAGGAGATCGGCGAGGGTGCCGTGGTGGGATAAGGGAGGGGGGGATGTCGACATGGTCGTATTTTGCCAGCTATCGCCCAACAATATCTGTTCTGGAATTTGAAGAGGGAGAATCTTTTGGGGAGGCTCCCTATTTGATCTGCAGGAAGCGCATGTGCATCTTCTGATGTAGTAAATTGTAGGTAAGTAGGTAAAATATTCATATGGCATGAGCTACAAAGTCGTGTTTGTATCAACCCCGCATGTCAGTGGGGAAGACCTCGAGCCCTCAGAGTCCTACCAAGCAAGCAAGCAAGGCTGCGTACCAGCCTTGCCGGAGTTGGCCACAAACCCCTATTCCCCATCCGCTTTCTGGGGGATAAGATCTGACCTCTGCAACTTGGGTTCAGTAGGGGTCGCAATTGCGTCCAAAGCAAAATGAGTGTTTCTTATCTTGCTGTTGCATTTTACTGAGTACTTTTGGTAGCCATTATGTGGGGTGGCCCTCGTATAGGGTTACCTTGCGGTCAAGTGTGATGGATGCGGTGGTCTCGTAAGCATACCTAGATAGTGTCCAATCTCAACATCCAAACTCCGTGACGACACCCCCTGACTCGAATGTCCCTGGTTCAATACTCACACGGCACCTAAGTATCCCCAGAACCGTGGTATTCCTGAATAGCGATAGGTATATTTAGTCTCCTAGTTAGGGTGTCTCCGTGGGATTTACCTCCTCATTGTTCTGAATGCCTTATGTATAGTCTACTCTGGTTGATGGCGGGTAAGGAGGGCGCTGTAATTGAAATCCCTCCTCTTTCCAACGTGGTCTACCGGCAACCCTCCGCCAGATACAAGGGTTAGCGACGAATCACGACCCAGCTCCAGACAAAATGTAAACACGTATGAATGTGCGTTACGTAGGGTTCCATTGTTCGCACAAAGGGGAAGGCAAAGTCCTGAATAGATGCCAAAAGGCAAGGGGACTCAATCTTTGTCTGGGACGGAGGAGGTTGCGAGGGGATAACGCAGGTCTGTTGGCTGGGAATAAATTGATGTTTCTAGGAGCCTGAACTGCTTGTAGCATCACAGCTCCTAGGCCTTGATGATTAGCAAGATCAGCTCATCGGCTTTGCGACTACATGGAGGACATCCGAAATATCAACGCTTATTGATGGCCACAAGAGACATACACGGTGCCTTCGTCTCTGGGATGGGGCTACGTCGAATGATCGACGAGAATATTCGGACTCTGGTATTGTACTGGCCTTCAGAAGAGATCCTTAACGCTGTATAGAGAGTCTTGGTTGGAAAAGCGCTTAATAGCTGGGGCATTTGACTTAGCATGGCGATAAGTTCATGTCTTAGATCGGAGGTATAGCGCCTGGGTTGATGAGTGACTTTGCTGGCGATTAGATGCACAGTATATTGCATTGAAACCAGCACCGCATCCGTTTTGATGGCTGTCATATCGAATTTGACATTTTAAGAACGGCACACGCCCCAAATCCTCTGCTTCCTCCTAGAGGCTTGGCCTCGCATATGTCGTACTGTTGCTCCAGGCCTCAAGCTCGCTCCGCTGCCTTTTGAGATGCAGTTGCTTACATGCGCTGCTTCCTCGGCTTTGAACTGGCAGAGCATCGAGCCACCTCATTGGTACACGTTGAAGGCCGGTATATGCTGTGAAAGATTTTTGTATTGGTGTCAATCTTCGCTTTAGCTATCTAGTGTACAACTCACACCTCCCCGGGGTGGATTACACGCCCACAAAGGGCGCCCGCATCCAGCCCGCGTTAGGGTGGTCCACGAGATTCAATTGGCGCCAAAAATGGGCAGAGCGTTCCAAGATCAACGTGGCAGAAGGCCGTGGAGTGGCCATTTCGACGGTGAGAGTCTCAAAAATTGTTCGGGCTCGCCTAGAACACAATTAGTTATCAGTTCCGCAACACCATGGCACCACCAAAACAACAGGCCCGGCTCCAAAATGGAATTACTTGGATAGGAACGCCATGCTTGGAGCAACGCAGATCGTAATGCAGCATTTTTAGGACGGACGAAGCAGAAGACGGGTTTGCGTGCATGCTTCCATTTGGGGCGAGGCGGCTCGCACACCGCCTTCCGCGGCAAATGACACGACAGCGGCGACGAATGTGCAGGACTCACGGCTTGAGTCATGCGAGACTTCCCCTCCTCGATGACGTCGCCCAAGTCCAGCTGAGATATATTTCAACTGTTAGAATCTGACTCCGACAGTTCTTGGATATCGAGGAGGTGGATTCATCGCAGAGTCTTCATGGCAGATGCTTGGAACAGGCCAGGATCGATCAGTTGGAACTTGCATCGATGCACCAATCAGCATTGTCGGTTCTCAGGTGCTTTTTTGCGGCAGGCTTTTGAAGATGCAAATGTCTACAGTCATGTGGATACGCTTTTTCAGACTCTTTTTCGGGGAACGAGGATAACGAGTCGGGCAGTGCCAAGAGCCAATAAAAAAGAAGCATTAATGGATCCAGCCATTGGATCGGCGTAACCCGTCCGTTGGGGACACAGGGCAAAGGTTGCTGGGGCAGTGATTGAGTCGTTGTACTGACCTGTGGAACAACAATGTCTGCTGGGAAGGTGTCTCTGGATGCCTTTTCTTTTTCGCAAGCAAGGATCAACTTTCGATTAGCGAACGCAAAAAGAGGTGGCTACAACAGCATTTCATTGACAGACTCGTCGTTATTTCCCCCAGGACTGCAAGCAAGCAACAGGCGCGGAGGGCGTGTTCGCAAAGACTGAAAGAGGAGGGGAAGAAATATAGTATCAGGCTGAGACGGTGGCTTGCCCGACGGGCTGAGGTTTGGAGGAGGGATCCTTGAAATCGTCACGCTGCTGGATGAGGAGAGCCCCGAATCGTGCTGTACCAAATCAAGTCAATGGCACTTACGGATGTCAATGGCCTGTTTCGCGCAGAGCCGACCAATCCTGACGATCATTTCCACCAGGAGAAGGAAGGCGGGCCAACTGTGTAACATGGTTTCGGTTCACTGCTGGCCATACTCTCGCCGCGGGTGATATCTGTCCACGTGGCAGGCCTCAGTGGCGATGCCTGGTCAGTCTATCGATTGGTTGAAAAACCACAAGACCGCTGGTTGCAGTTGGTAATCCATGGAAGTGCTTGTTTGCTGTCGACATTTGGCGGGCTGAATGCAAGGCTTGCCACTTCGTATGCGTTGAAAAGGAGTTATTTTAATGCATTCTTGTGTTGGTTAGGCTGGGTACGGATCTCGGTTGGAAGATGTCGACCCAAGATCCGAAGGCATCATCAGGTATGCCGCGAATTGCAGAAGCGGAGGTTGCTTGTCTCTGATTCAACCGGTGGCTGATGATTCGAGCAGCAAACAAAAGCGATCAGGCCATTGGCCAGACAGGGGAAACCCAGACCCAGACACAGACCCAGCGAGCCAGCTCCAAAGACAGGGATCAGCGTGCAGCTAGTCGGGCTGAGAGCCGGCATGCGCGCATGCAGAAGCTGAAGGGGGTGCTTCAATCGTCGGAGATGACCAGGACTGAGTGCCTATTACTGCAGTCCGCTTTGTTTGGTCTAGACACGAATTTGGGGCAGCCACAGCGGCTTTTGGCTGTTCAAGATGGGGGTTGGTGTGGAAGAGATTAGCAAAGCATATCTCAGCACGGCTGCAGTCCTCATACGGGACTGAGCAGATAATGTACTTCGGCT